AGTATATAATACTTTATATACTCAGAGGGTAAGATTTAGTAAAATTTTACTTAGAATTTTTCTATCCATGTTTAAAAGAGACATTGTTTTGTAGTTTTCTAGTTTAGTAATGTGTCTTTCAATTTTACTATCTGAGTAATGTTGACCTCATAGAAAGTTAGGAGGCAGTATCTCCTCTTCAATTTTCTGAAAGTTTGTGTAGTTCTCATTCCTATGCAAAACATATAATAAATCATAGAATAAAATCTGCCATCATTTCCTTTTTGAAATCTGTTTGTTAAAGTACAACCTTAATTTCTTTCTTAGCTATAAGGCTATTTGGTTAATCTATTTCTTCTTTGGAGTTTTGTCAAGTTTGTTGTCAAAGGCTGTCAATAATACTTATGTCTCTTTAGATGTCAGTAGAATCCATAATATTGTCACCTTCCTCAATTCCAGTATTAGTAATTTGTCTCTATTTTTCCTTTATATTTGGTGAGAATTTTATCTGTTTTATTGATCTCAAGGAAACAGCTTTGGGTTTCATTGCTTTTATATAAACATCCTATTTTATATTCCATAATTTATGTTTTAATTTTAATTATTTCTTTTCTCATATATTTTCAATACACTCTCCTCCTTTGTTCTGGCTCCTGAAGATGGAAGCGGAATTAATTAATTTTATATATTTTATTTGATATATTTTATCTATTTAATAAATTCCCCTTTATTGCTTTCGTGGCACCACAAACTTTGATATGCTATGTTTTAATTTCATTCAGTTTAAAAAAATGTTAATGTCACTTTTGACTTCTTTTATACATGGGTTACTTAGAAGTATATTATGTTCTTTTCAATAGTTATTCTACCCCATGCTACAAATTACTCTGACTGGAAAGTACAGGCACTATCTCTGCTTATAAAGCAATGAGAGTTATAATCTTCCTGATGATTCTTTTCTGGATGTTGGGTCATTTTTTCATATATCTATGCTGCTCAGCACTCAATATTCCCTGAGTTCTCTGTGCAGCTCTCTCTCCAATACTCTTCTCATCAAATTCTAATAGACCTGCTCTCTTCAGACTCTCAGCTCTATCTCCTCAACTCAGGAACTCTCCTAGGTCTGCATGGTGTTGCCTATTGATGAAGGCTAGACAATTCCTTAAAGCATTATGTGGAGGCTTAAAGCTATATAGCTTAGAACCACTATACCACCACCTCTGCTATCTATGACACACTTTACATATGGTAGGTGGGGGCTCAGCACTATATACAGGATCTCATTTAATGTACTCCAAAACATACCAGGAAACCATTACACTCTTATACAATACAGATAAAACATGTCTGCATGGAATTTGCATTTTTATGAAGGAAACAGATACTAGACAAAATATATTAATATCATCTTTACTAATAAGTAGATGGTGCTTTTATATCGGCTTCATTATGTCATTATTTCATATGAATAGTCATCTCTTCCTATATAACATTTCAACCCAACATTTAACATTTCATAATTCTCTTCCCTTAACACTCATCACTAACATATTAATATATTTTATTTGTCTAGTATGTATGTATTTCTCTTTTCTAGCATCTGTTTCCTTCATAAAATACAAGTTCCATGTGGATATGGTTTTATCTATATTGTTCACTACTGTATCACCCATATCTAAGACTATTTTTTTGAGTTTCAGAATTTACATGTACATTTTCTCACTGCTATTGGATGTGTTTTATATGCCACAAGAGACTAAAATCTACAAGAGGGAAACAAGATCACTAGATGTGACAACTATCAGAGAACTGCAGAGAAAGATCACCTGTACATACTGTCTTCTCACCCTCTCTCCTCAGCGGTTAGGATTGTTATGTTATAGAGGGATAAACTTTATTATTTGGTTTAAAGACAAACATTTAATACATTTGAGACACAATCCATACAAAGTCAGTGTTACTCTGTAGTAGTTAGCAGCCTGGTCACTGGTGTTAGAATGTTAGTTTAAATTTTCAACAATTACACTTACTCGCCCTATGAATATTGGTATTTATTATTATTATATGCAAGGATTTTTATTCTGAGAATTCAAAGGATTTTTTTTCAACCTTTTGAAGCTGTGTTTTTACCTATTGTATATATGAGGCTGGAGGTTATAGGTTTCATCAAATTTTCAAATGTCAGTATGAACTCTGGGTATTATAGATCAAGTGATACTTTTATAAATAAACCTGATTGGCTTCAACTCCCTTAGGCCAACCAGAATCCACAAACTTTCATAGATCAGAACTACAAATAATTCATTATTGTTATAGTCACCTTTTCACAGTTGAGGTTAAATGATATATATTAGTATCAATCACATACACTAACATGACAGAGAAAAGAAAACCTTTTACTTATAAAATAAATTACCTCTTTTTAATGTTAACAATACATATGTAACAATACATATGTATCTCTCTCATAGCAATGGGGTTCTTCATTTTTTATTTTTTGAGGATAAAACATCACAATTTATTCACTTTTATAGCTGGTATGTGTTCAATATACAGAAGATGTGAAAGACACACGAAATGTTCAAAATATGTTTGTTGTATAATTTAATTGGCTTTACACTTGTCTTCATGAATTTAAAGGGTGATTTTCATTCCTTTGCTAATGTACTATTCCAGCATTTTCTCACACTAAGTAGCTTCCTCATTTAGAGTGCTGATTACTAAGCAAACATATTCATGTCATGGAAAGAAAAACAAGACATGAATAAAGAGTCTAAAAAAACATATGTTTTGTTTTCACTGAAGCATACAGAAAGTAAAGACATGCTTAAAAATATTTGGAGTACAGGCACATAGGATTATTTTATTTCTTTAAACTATGAAATCAGGGGCCCTCCCTGGTGGTGCAGTGGGTTGGTGCACAGAACTGGGAGGGTGGGGCCACTTCAGCATGAGTTCGATCCCTGCTTACCCAGGAGGTGACCCACATGGTGTGGCAGACCTCTCCTGGCACACCCACTGCTCTCCTCAGCAAAATGCTTTGTAGATCTGCCTGTTCTGCTAACCACTCTGTCTCTGGTGAATCCTCTCACCGCCCCTGCACCTCTCCTGTACCCAGTTCTGTAAAAACAAATAAATAAATCTTTAAAAAAAATATGAAATCACCAAAGAAAACCTCCTATTTAAGTTTGAGGAGTTGTGATCATTTTCATGGCCACTAGTGTATTTACTCTTTCCCCTTGGAATCTGGATCACCCTGTTGTATTCTCCCATCTTCTCCTGTGATATGTTTAAATATTTCTTCTGCATTTCCTACTCACCTTCTTCTAAATTATCCTATTGTTCTGTCATTCCTAACACATCTTTTCATCACTCAGATAAAAAATATTATCTGGGAGCTACATGAGGAGGGGATGGGTTATTGGCAGATAACTAATAAATATCTGGCAAGAAAGAAATGAATAAAGAATCTTAGGAAAGAAGGAGTAGTGGGTAATACAGATAATAGCAATATGGCTGTTGATGCACACCCCTCCCCCCGCCAAGTATATCCAAGCACAGCATCCAAGGGATATTGGTAAGTCAATGTGTCCATATGCTCATCATTACATCTAAGGGCAAAAATATTTTTTAAGGTTTTGAATATTCTGAACTTACTTAACTTACTTCCTACATTCCTACCTACTTCCTTTCATTCCTTGTTTTGTCCCTCCAAATGTCACCTCTATTTTGTCACCTCTATTTTTTCACCTTGAGGACTATAACAAACAACCTATGGTCTCCAAATATTTCCAAAGGTTGTGCAAACATGTATTATCTACATGAAGGCCAGAAGTCTACTGAGTATGATACACAGTTTTATGGCATAAATTCCATCAAACTACAAATATACAGGCATGTTCAGTAGGAAGAAAATTCCATTAGCTAATGTTATTTTCACATACCTAGCACTAAGGAAGGCTAATGAGCAAAACAATCTATTGTATCACAAGTCTATTCTAATGCTTCTAAAATAATTTAGATTATCTAAGAGCTACGAACTTCTACATTATGTAACTACAAAGTAATTCGTATTCTGAAATTTTGTAATTTTCTTATCCAGTGTCTGATACATTTATACCATGTTAGTGAAAAGCAAGCCTTACTTGCCAAATGATACATTAAAAGTCATAACTCTTGAACTTTACAAAAATGTCCAAACTCTAATAATCCTATTGTACTAATAATTTTCAAAAATAATAGAATACTTTGATTATTTCAGATTAAATTCCAGGAAGGGAAAATGAAAAACAGCAGTATTATGAAATTAATTCATTTAAATGTTAATACATGGTTCAAACAAACAAAAAAAAGCATACCACTATAATTTCTTAGCATGAAAATACATTTATGTGTCCCTATTTTAAAATCCTGAGTATAAAAATTATTAAAATTATTTATATGCTTCTTAGTAACATATATGAGGGATTGATTCTTTTTATTTACAAGGAAGGCCATTTAATATGTGAACTTGCAGTATTCAAACAACTGATTCTTCAGACAATAATGTCTATGATAGTGAAGAGTCAAGCTACTTGCAGAATTATCCAGATTTCCTATGACAACAGTTTAATCTTAAAGTTACTTGAAAATAACCTTAGGCAGTAGTTGTAAATTTATGTAGCCATAAACACTTGCAAGCTTCAGTTAAAAGCACAAAGTGATTGTTTAGGGTAATGCAATATTTTAAAAATAAAGCTCTTTTTTATTTTAAAAAGTCAAAACTCTAATGTCTTTGTAGTATGAATAAAAGACTTACTGTTGAAAACTTTTTAATAAAATACCAAAATTTCCCATTTAACAGTAAATATTGCATGCAAAGACTCTAGCAATGCTTCTATTGTAATTAAGTATTAAATGAGCAACTAATCAGTATTTTGCATCACTTCACAGAAAAGTTTTGACATAAAATTACTAGATCTATATGTGCATGCTACAGCATAGTATGTTCAAAATCAAAAAATAAAGTAAGATGCAATTACCCTAAAAGACATTTCAAGATTCTCTCCACCCCAGATATCCATTCCTGCATCGTAAGTTCCTATCTCTTCAAAGTAGTTTCTGTCAATAGAAAATAGGCCACCAGCCATAGTAGGGGTCCTAGTTGAAAAAAAAAACAAAAAGAAAAGAATATCTTTTGAACACAGTGTGTGGAGTTTAATTAAACTTTAGCAAATATTTTAGAGACATTTTAAATTGTAAAAAGTAGTATTCAAAAATCTTGCAATGGAAAGACAAGGTGAAAGAAGTTTTAAACTTAGTAAGTAGCATTTTTTACTTCACATTTTCTTTAAAACTAAATTTAGTCTATGTTTTTCCTATATGTGATTAAATAAATAAGATGGGATAAACACTGGCCATGTAAGATCGGGCATCTGTATTTTTTCTGGAAGCCTTAGTGAAGCTAGTGCTTTTAGCAGTGCCCTTGAGGAGATTAGTTGGTTATGAATTTACCAGTTTTGATAATTTTCCCTTAATTAATACTCATTTTCATGTGAATTTTAGAAATCTGCACATATCATATCTTTAAGAAAACTATATAGCCTATATATGAAAATATTAAATACTATAACATATAAAACAATATGTGTCCAATTATAACATATATTTTTTAACAGCAGATCTTTTCATCTAACTGTTTATTGTTCTCTTTACCTAATTAAGATGACAGACTGTATTATATACCCCAAAAGGTAAATAACTCAATATATTCTTCAGCTGTTCAGAAAGCTCTTTAACACCGATTCTAAAATTTTCTCCCAGGAGTAGTAAATTCCTTTTAGTTTTTACATTTGAAAGTCTCTAGAGAAGAAAGAAGTTAAATGTTGAAATGACTAATTATTAATTAAGAAACATAACAAAAGCTAGTGGTTATTGTGAACTACACAAATCTTTCCAAATTGTACAATTAAGACTAAATAAGAAAGTTCTAGTCATTTATAGAGATCTATCTGTACTGGCAATTATTCTTTTTGAATTCTTCAATACCACTCTCCACAGATTCAGATTTAATTGGCCTGGGGAGAGCCAAACTTTTACTTCTGTGTAAAGTTCCAATTCTAACACGCTGCTAAAGAAGTGGACTCTCTGATTTAATAACTTAGATTCTGAATGCTTATCCATGTAGTCTGAGATTGAGAAAAATGTTTTGTTTCTTCCAAAATCATTTCTCCTGCCACAAGATTTGCTCACGTTCTCTAATTGAAAAGTACAATTCATTGAAACACCACCAACTAATATTGTACTAGGATTGCTACCATATTGCAAAGTTCTTAATTTCTCCCAATGTTCTCTCTGTTTTATACTCAGGTAATTAACTGTCCATCAGTAGGAGTAGCAGAGTCTTGCTTAGACTCAGAGCTGTTTTATTACTTCAGTCTTGTTGGGTTCCTATCATGAACGGTATCACTGACCTTCTGGCTTATAATGAGAAACACTAGCAAAACTAAACAGATGGCAATTACGGAGTAGCCATGACCCTCACCTGATTGGGGTTTTAGAACTCTGACAATAGCTATATAAGGTATTACAACGCTGGATAGTCTATTTAATGAAATGATTAACAAAAATTGCTGCAATTATCCTATCAGAATGTAACCAACATTTTAAGAATGTTAAGTGATGTTTTTTTAATGATAAATTCAAAATGCCTATCCACCTCTCTTCTAATAAAATACTAATATGTTTAACTTAAACACACATATTGAAATTCATCTTGCAGTTGATCATAATCCCTATAAATATGTGAGAAATGTAAAACTGACTAAAATAAGTTATATGCTTAATCTTAGGCAAGTTTCATATTTCATTTAAGTTTGACAAATTGTATAAGTAAAATAAAAAAAAATTATAATTCCTCAAAGATTACTTATTTTCTGAAACAGATGCTCCTAAAGTGATTTCTTTGTATTTGCAATTTCAGTGGGTTTTCTCAGTCTGGAGCCTGTGCCATAAATAATATCAGTTATAGCCAGCATTATGCAACATGTCTTGTTCTATGTTAACTGCTCTATAATCTCCCTTAAGAAACATTTCAATGTCTGTGAGGACTTTAAATGTTTAGGGTGAAAAAATGTTTAGACTGGAAAATTAAAAACCCTGATTATAATTGAATTAGCGGAGATCATTTGCTTTGTAAGTTTGTGTCTATACAATGTCAAACCTGTCTATACAATGTCAAACAACCTGTCAATTTAAACAGTTCTATTGGGGAAAAAATATTCAGCCCATTGGCTATGAACATTACCCACAACACAGTAAATCAGTGGAGACAAATCAAGTTAATAGAAGCTAAGCACTTAGCATAGTGTCCTATATATAGTAAAGAGTTAATCAGATAGGGCTATAGACTTTTGTTGTTCATGTTAATCATTCAAATAAATGTCTTGAATGTGCTTTAAATTAATTGTATCTCTCTATACATAAACTCTCATTTTAGACTTCAGGATAATTCAAAACTATTTCATATCAGAGATGTCAAACTCTAAAATTTTGCCACTGGAATACTTTATATTTTATAGTCTCTCCTATTTTAGTTTTATTGAAGCTGTTTTTAACCTTAGCTGGTGTTATGGGTTCCTTAGCTACTTCACGTTCTTGCATGATCACCATTTTTTCCTATTTGTTTCCCTTCTCTTTCCTCCTCTCCGAGATTCTTCCAGTTAGTAAAATCTACTTTAACACACTAAGTTCTCTATCTTTACCTAGTTATCCCACTCTCTTTTTGAAAATGCCATTTCTTGTGTAAACTTCCCCTTTGCTCCATCCATCGCTGTTCCTAAGACCCACAGAATCTTTGAAAAAATGAGATGAACTGAGCATGTTGTAGCCTATGCTACTGACTGTATGTAGTCTAAAGTAGCTAACAAACCTTTTACTAATTTATTCATCTTTTTCATTTTAAACTGAATCTCTTCCAAAGTTTTGAACTTTTCTAAGATTAAGGAAATGGATACAATTTAAATTCCCTCATTCATGAAATCTAAACTCTCTTAATTGGTATCACAATATGTACAGACATCTTCTCAAGGCCTTTTATTCCTTAGAGAAAATACCTCCTTTCCTTTTACTGTGAGATAGCATCATTCTTTTGCTCTCGCGTTGTGCTATTCTGACTACTCTTTCAGCCTCTTGCTCATTGAATATATTACGTTTATGTTTTATGCCTCTGATTTCTAGATTGTTCCTTTGAGCTTACTAAACTGTTGCATTAAATTCTATTCTAAGGTATAGTGCATCTTCATTCCATCTCACTATTTAAAGTAGGGACATGTATTTCCTATTCCATGAACTCCCTCAACTCCTCTTGACCTTCTTACTACAATATGGATTTTGTTCCCACTTCTACAATCACTTCTTTCTGAAAGGGTCCCATTGATTCTGAACTTCAATAGCTTTTCCTTAATTTCATTCTTAAAACACACACACACACACAATTTATGAGCTTCCCAGCTTGAAATTCTTTTTACCTGACTCCCATTGTGTTGTTTTACAGAAAGATTTCCTTCTGCCAATTACACTATTTGTTTTATTATTATCAGTGTCTCAATTTTTTTTTCTCTTGCAACTGTTAGATCTTAGTCAAGTTTTTAGTTTCACATCTGTGATATGAGTACAATATATGACTATAATATTGTTTCATAGAACTATATACCTACTATCTACCTTTTTTTGTCCCAAAATGTAGTTATCTTGAAGTTCTCTTGGTGGCACTTTTCTCTGGTGCTAATCTTCCTGACCTCATTCATCATATGCCTTTAAGTGCCATCACTATGAGGCTGACTGCTAATCTGTGATTTGTTTCTCATTTCTTTACTCTTGCATTGTTTATGATTTTCTAATTACTCACTAGATTTTTTTTTAATGAGATCTTCTGACTGCCTAGTATAACATAGAAACCTTGACTTTGCTATTTCTTTCATATTTACTTCATTTTAAACATCCTACTTTGCCTTTGTAGCTCCTTTCAGAGTAGTAACATAAAATGATGAAACCATCTTTCTTCTTACACCTCATTCAATTATTTTCCAAATAACTTGTCTTGCAAAGTATTTCTGACTTTTATCTCTCTTCAGTTTTATGGTCACTGTGAAATTTTAGTCTTATGCTTAACCATTTGTTAGTGGAATCCTCTTGCTTCTAGAATCTGCTGTCTCTAAAATTTGGTCTATAAGCCATAACCAGTTCTTCTATAAAAACCTGCTCCTCTATAAAGGTTAAATGAATGTTCAAAACATATTTTAAAGAACAAATTCCAGTTTTTCCTTCTAGAATCAGTCATCTGGAATCATCCAATGAGGTCCTTTACTCCTTTTGCTATTTCCCTGTATTGAAAGTGTTTAGTTGCTACTAATAAAGGTTTTATAATTTCCCAATTTGATTGCATCAATTTGACATTTAGATCTTTATAAAAATGTACTTATAAGTTCAAAGCTGCAGCATTATTAGATCAATACACAGACCATATATTCCATACAGGCTGCTTTAGTGCAACATTCCTCCCTTCAGTCTTCTGCAATCTTCCCCTTCTCTACTCTCTTATCCAATAGTTTTATATTTCTATTCTCTCAAGGCTCTTGTGATCACTTACTGAGTATTATATTTGTTTCTACTAACATTTTACCACTTCTGTAAGTATTTCCACAATATTGGTTCAATATTATTAAATGAAGAGAGATTTGTCAAATAAATGAATTAAACAGATGAACAATATACCCCCATGTCCAGAAAACAATTTGAGTTAAAATCAGTTATTCTGCTCCCCTGTGTTTATTGCTGCACTATATACAATAGATAAGATATGGAAACAACCCAAATATTAGAAATAAGGAATCAGTAAAATGAAGTTGAAGTTAAAACATCAATAAGCAAAAATCAGTTGCACCCTTATACACAGTGAACTAAAAGAAAAAAGAACTCAAGAAAATGTATGTTATATTTTTAACATATTTTGGCAAGAATGTTGAATAGTTAAACCTTCCAAATTTCAATTATTTTCTAAAGTCTTTTGTTCTGCTCACATATGCCTTTCTCACATATGTGACCTTCCTCATGCTGTTGCTTTAGTACCTCCTCTTAAGAAGAAATGCCTTAAGTATTTTGTGAATTTATTTTTGTTTCATTTCTTCCAATTTAAAAGTATAATTTCATTGAACTGAGAAAAAAATAAGAAAGTATGATATAAAAATTAAGAAATTTAGTCGCTCTAAAATAGTAAGTAGCATTGTATTATTTTGCACCACATTTTACTGAGTAAAATAAGTGTTTTCACCAATAATACACACTGAAGGGACTATAAATTAGAGTCAGTCATGATTTGGGAGGTGAAAATAAAATTGGCAGAAGATGTCAAGGATATTAAATCAAATTTCATAATGTTTGAATGCTTAATCTAGCGATGCTACATTATATATAATACTGCTGATCAGAAGATATATTTAGGAAAAAGTATAAACAGCTGATTAATGTTAGACTGTAAAATAGAGAGGAACAGTTAAACCACTGAGATATTCGAGGGTGTTATAAGTTTTACTTATGAAAAAATTTGATGTCATAGAAAAGTACCAAAATGAACTTGGAATGCAATCTAACAAAACACTAGAAGAGATGGATCACTAGTATCCTGTGTTTTTTTGGCTTTAGATACTTTTCAAATTTATTTTGCAATGCATACAAGTTTCTTACATTATCAAAAATAAAACTGAAATAACCCATTTTGAATGTATTTCTCATGTACTAGTTTATGCTTGCACAAAAGTTAAGCAAAAAAGAAAGGGTAATTTCCTATTTTATAGTTGAGGAGACTGAATAATTTCCCAAGTACAGGAACTAAAAATAAAACTTAGATGCTCCAAAACCTACTTCTATTTTTCTTCTATGCCATACTAGTATAATACAAGAAATAATATATAAACACATTCTATACATTTTTCACAATAAAGATATAATATTTGTAATCTAGATTCTTAATTGTGTCATTTAATTTATTTGAGCTTCTTTTGAATTCCTAATTATAATTGAGAGAAAAAGAAATGTATGAGATGAGATCAGACAAATGTTACTAAAATAGGATATCAAAGTAAGTAAAGTGTATCAGGAAAAAAAATCTCATAATTACATCTACATCTGATTTATTATGGTAACAAAATTAGAAGAAAATCTAAAACTGTTTAAGAAGATACTTAACATGGTACTTCAATTAAGAAGTCAGTTATATTTAAGAATCTTAGTAATGACTAAATTGAGAGTCCCTCAGGTTAGACACAAAGGGTAAAGAAAATTAAGTAGGTATACTGACTACCTTAAACAGACTTTTAATAAAGAAATCTGTTTTAATCTGGGAGAAATTAAACTAGAAATGTGCACCTTTGTAACTATTTATGGAGGGTTATAGATAGGGCATAATTAAGAGGTTAAAGTAATCAGTAAGAGCAAAGCCATGATCCTTCTAGAAACACATTTTGCTCCGGGAGTTGAACTATGTCAACTGGCATACACACTATTTCAACTTGCCAGTTATCGGCATATTTCCTTCATCAAACAAACACATAGACAGGGTCAGACAGAGAGCACCTTTAGGGCAGAAATTGTCTTATTCTTCCTTATATGAGTAGAACTTAGCAGAATGCTCAGTAATATGCACACAAGTGCATTTGCATATGGAATCAAACCAATTTCAATATTCTGAGCCAAATCAAATCAAAAGTTACATGCATCTGAAAAATATATACTATACAACCCAAACATATTAACTGATTTGGGAGATCATTTGCAATACCAGATAATTTATGCTATGCCTTTCTATTCCATTATGTTATTATACGCATGTTCATATAGGGCTAGCATGTGTGATGGCTTCAAATGGCTTCAAACTCAGCCATTCACCTGACAACTACCTCTAAATCAAGGGTCTTAGGTGTTAGAGATTATCACCAGGCAAATAAAGTTAGTATGTGAAGATGAATCAACTTCAATGTTCATATTTCTCTCACCTTTGTTTGGGAAACAAGAACTGAGAAATATTTACACCATTGCAAAAATTATGATAAATGAAATTGATGCTCAGTCTCAGAGTGAAGGTCAGACACACAAAAAGGAAATGGGAAATCAGACTAAACTTTCATGCCTCTTATTTATGGGAAGTTTCTACTCAACCCCCTCTTATGGTGCCATGTAGGAATAATGGACAATTGTAGTAGTATATTCTGACTTCGAAAAATCACTAGAAAATTTATTTTCTTATTGAAAATACACCCTATTTTTAAATGTTGGTGGTTTTTAAAATGCAAAACACTATATAGCCTATTGAACCTAAATAAAACACATCTACAAATTACACGTGGCTTGCAATTTTCTGGTATATAAACTCTAGTTTAAAAATTTGACTATTCTATATTTTACATAGATTTGAAATATTCTTAAAAAGCCATTGAATTTGACTTCTAAAATGTCAAGGAGACTTCTGATTAAAGAAAGGTAAGTATCTGTGGCTATATATGCTATAATTCTATACTTATAACTTTACAAATATCAAGTGGTTTACCAACTCCACTTGTTTTCAAAATGAAAATATCAAAGCCCAGTGACAGACAATGGGATAATAAGTATAACCATTATACACCTTATTTTAAATGTGTTATAGTCAAGGTTAGGTCACAAGTTCAATTGGTTTTCTAAGTACGCAAATACATGATTGTATTTCTAAATGATGACTAACCAATTATAGTCACTATAAAGTTCTGTCATAACTGACATTTTATATCAAGCTTTCTTTTAAGAAAGCTAAAATTTCAACCTCATTTTAATCACTTTAGCTATTCAGAATCTTGTTAATCAAGTAGGAAAAAAATGTCTTCAACACCTAGAATGATTTATCTGTTTGTACAAATGTGAGAAAAATGATCACATGCTCAAGTAATAGATTACAAGTACAAAGAAAGTTCACATTACAGCCATGCTGATGAAAATTACCTGCAGGCTGTTACAACACAGCCAGTGAATTAATTAACCTTTTGCCATAAAAATCTAGAAACTTCAGCAAAGACCGAGATTTCTATTTTTCTCTAGCTCCAGCTCCCTTAGCATTTTAGAAGTAAAATGCTTTGTAATTACTGAAGCAAACAAATAAAACATACTTAGATTCTATCACCTGCCCATGTTACTACAATGAAACCACTGTAAGCTATGATTAATATGTAACAAATTGTATAAACAATGACCAATTTCTATGTAAATTTCTACTTTTGTGAGTGAAATCAGTATTTGCTTACTATAAAGGATGACTATTGCTTATATTCATTTATTCTGTGAAAAAATAAAGTTAACTAAAGTAGAAATTCACCAATGAGTTTAAAATAATGAATACAAACAGATTCGTTTAGATTAAATCTTCAAACAAAGAACACTATATTAGAATGTATTTGTTAAGTATTTTAATAGTTTCATTTGGGATCTGAAGCTTAAAATCTGCTAACATGAGATGAACCATGAGCTGAGAAATGCAGATTTCTAATAAACATTGGTAATATAAGCTAAATGTTCCTCAAGTTGTTAAAAGCAAAAACCAGTAAGACTTAGTAAATGTGAAAGTTTCAGCAAGATTTAGGTGACTTAATTACTTTAAATATTAATATCATCATCTCACAAGTCTCTATACAATTATCTTATGCCACATTTTATTTTTTCTCTTTGATGTAGCAATATCTCCTTAAGGGGGGTTAACATCCCTGATATTGAATTATTCAGTAATAAACAATGAGAGTTATTCTCTTCCATTAGCCAATTTGTAGAATAAGTTTTAATTCATTAAAAAATTAGACTTGAAAATGATGTCATTTCCTTAGCAAGTTAGAGACATTTTTGTTTAGATTAGGGGTTTTATACATTATTTTTAGAGTGTTAGGATTTTTATGATTACAATTCATCTTTTAAGAGATATGCTAATAAATTCCCTCTGCAAAGTATTGTTTAAAGATACCAATTTTTGATTGCTGGTAAGAGGTACACATTAATATGTTGAAGTCAGAATATGATAATATTATGTTAATAAACTGGGTAATGCTTACCTAGATGACTTAAAATGCCTATGCTATTTCTCATGCATATTAAGGGCAAACATATTTGATGAATATTTCAAATTAGGTAGCTATTTTAAATAATTTGTGAAAAATAATAAATCTTTAATAATGTTCAATATATTTAAACTTTCAAAATGTACTATTATTTTGTATTCAAAAGGAAGATAGTTATTTAAGTTTGGTAAAGTTTAAATATTTACCAAAACATTTTTGGTTTGATCAATTTTGAGGAAAACTCTATTATAAATTATGTACATTTAGGAAAGATAAATATCTACCTGAAGTGTCAAGACTAGCAAATACCACATAGAAAATTTATAATAAAAATACTTTGAATATAATAGTACATAAAGTTTCAAAAGAATTCTGGCATTTTGTAATCCTTATATATGACTGTTCCAACTTAAACTAGATTTTATATTGCCACCGATAATTAGGGTATTATGTAAAAATCAGTAATATATATGTATATATGAATAGAAGGCACGTGAATTTAAAGGACTTTTAAATTAGAACACCAATGTTTAAGACTTCTTAATTATTATAGGAATAAATGTGCTATCCTTTGGAAGTTTCAGTCTACATACCTGACAGGCAACGTTCTGTCTCCTTTCCTTCTATCCATTTCTCTTTGAGGCACAGGATACCAACGGAAATTCAGTTTCCAGTTAAAACCTCCATAAGTCATGTCTGACCCAGCCATATATTCAAAAGTATCATCGCTAATTACATCAATGATGGGGCATACTACTGTCTTCCTGCAGAAAAATGAAAACAAGTTAACGGATAAGTAATTACTTAAATGCTATATTATCTCCTTTAAATTCAATATAGCTAATACTCTAAAATTTAATCCTTTGTGGTTTCAATAAGCCTTTATTTTCATTTAGCTTCTCTTTCTCTGAAATTATTTCCCTTTACTACATCTTCCTTAGAGACTATACTACCTCATACAATCTAATCAAAGATACTAATTGATCTCTAAGATCATTTCCAAATGCATTCTAAGTATTAACTCAGCAGGATGAACATGGTCTATTTTTCATAAAATTTCCACCCATAGTATGATTAGTAAGAGCTACATTGAGATCATGCATCATTTTAGCTATATGCTACTAGAAAGCAATATGATGAAGGAAATGAGGAAAAGATGATGGCAAATTAGGTCTAGCAGCTTGCAAATGGATAGGTTAGTTTAAATAGAAACTCTGAGAAAATTTTCATGAGAAAATGCTGACTGGAAAAAACAAAGAAAACCAACAAAATGAACCAAAAACAAAATCATAATCATGAATATAAGTAAATGTTTCCTACGAAAGATAGTAGGATCATGATGACTTTTGAATTTATCCTAGACTTAGAAATTTATAGAAAAAATATACATGTTTTTTGGATAGGGAAAGAAAAAAATCAGATTTTTGTTGTTTGGATATAACCCATAACCATTTTTTCATGTTAGAGAGAGAGTCAGCTTATTTTTTATATTGTTCTGTATGTGTGTCTATACAACCACTGGTTTTATTATTTTAGAATTTATTTTTCTTTTTTTCTTTTTTTTTTTTTTTTAAAGATTTATTTATTCATACAGAACTGGGGTACAGGCCAGAGATGCGGAGGGTGAGAGGATTCACCAGGAACAGAGTGGGGAGCAGAACAGGCAGATCGACGAAGTACACTGCTGAGGGGAGCAGCGGGCGGGCCAGGAGAGGTCTGCCTCGCCATGTGGAGCTCCTCCGGGGCAGGCAGGCGGGGATCGAACTCGTGTGGAATTGGCTCAAGCCTCTTAGTGCAGTGCTTTAACCACTGCGCCACCAGGGAGGGCCCTATTTTTATTTTTAACTTATATTGTTGATGCTGAATTTTCAGGTAGAAAATTTTCCTTGTAGGAGGTCATTAGGTATTTATGAAGTTACTAATTTAGTGAAGTGAAATAAGTCATACAAAGCAAAACAAATACCATGATTTCATCTATATAGATTAACAGAAAATGAACAAGCAGTTCAAAGCAAAACAGATTCAGAGAACAGATTGGTGATTCCAGAAGGAAAGAGTTTGGGCATAATGGGGTCAGATAAATGGTGGTAAATGGAATCTAGACTGTAATAGTGTTCTTAATGAAGGACACACATATGTATAATGATATATATAAACATTCTTTTTAATCCAAATTGTGCCTTTTCCAGTCTTTTTCTATGTCTAGTTATATATTTTATTATGGGATCAATTCTCTTTAATCATCACAGAATATACTAATGTCTACCCAAGTTTGCATTGCTTATAGATAGTTTTGATGAGAAGAACTCTTTTTTCAACTTTGGCAGAAGGTAAATATACAGATATGCTCTTAAATTATACAGAGCTATGGAAATCAAATAAAAGTTTTTCATATTTTATTCTGGGTTTATAACATCAGTGTCAACAGTGCTCATTTTCAAATGTATAATGTATTATAATTAGTTTAAACCCTGACAGTTGATTCTTTTATTTTTCTTCTCTCCTCTTTTTTTTTTTCCCTCCTCCTTTTCCTTCTTTTTGTTATTTAGGTGCCTGACTTAAGCTTTAATTGCCAAGACATCCACTTTCAAGAGATTTCTACTTTAAAGATGGTCATTTCAAATAACAATGCTCTCCCCTAGACTAGACAGATAGGCTATTTGACTCTACTATGACTTTTTGTTTTATAGATCTTGGATGGTTTCAGTAATGAACCATTTGGGTAATGTGCATCTTCTTTACATTGTTGATAGTCATTTTTTAAGATAAGAAAATGTTCACTATTTGTATCATTGGGTAACATTTTTATAAATCCATGCTCTTATATTTTACTGACAAAGAGTTTATTTACCAATAAAAAGTGAGTCCAAGAATGCAAGACCTCCACCTTCATTTCCAGTAAAATAACTATAAGGCTTATGGTCATGTTCTCTCTTTCTTTCTCTCAGACATCTCTGTATGGCCTTAGGTATGCTGTGCAATTTTCAGAACCCATAAGTAATAAATCATATTTCCCCAAAGTTATCTGATGGGTTATGCTTAAGAACAACTTGCAATCATATTAAAAATCACAAGGAACCATCCAGTGACATCAGTAACAGATAGACTGAGACTGGCACACAACATTGTCACAAATGGCCAGAACCTGGAGTTCTGTGAAATTAACAGGATTCATTTAGTCTTAGAAAAACTTGATGGCTGTGTTTCCAACAAAATCAATATTTTTCTCTTTTTAAATTAAATTTAATGACTTAATTTGCAAGGAAGTGAAATTAGATCTAGTTTTATTAACCACCTATTGCAACTTTAGAACTTATAACCAGGATAAGACTGAGTTTTTTATAAGTAAACACAATCTAAACATGTTGTTATAGTATAAATCACCTGTGGATGACAATATTGAAACATATTAAAAACTCACTAAGTTGACTGTGTCACTCATGTTTAAAACAGTTGCAAAATATATGACACTCATGTTTAAAACAGTTACAAATGTATGAAAAGTTGCCAGGAAATGCCTTTCAGAAGTTCCAAGTTCACTTTACTTTGCCAGTCTTACCCTCCTGTGGGTACCATATAGTATATAAAGTGAAAACATTATTAGCTGTGTCCTGTACTTAGTAAACCAAAAGATGTCTCCTGCTTTACTCAACAGCTATGGTTCACTTTACTGACAGCCTCCATCCATCTTTCTGGCAACTACCAAAACCTGCCATCTACATGAATGACCTGGTTAGAGGAGCTCACATTAAGCAACCCATCTTGGATACCTAATTAAAACTTCAATTCTAGAGAGATCTTTCAACTGTAAGTAAAATGAGTATGTCAGTGTATTATGCAAAGATTTGTTCTTTTATCAGACAGCATATTTTAGTTCGTATCATTAGGTTCTTAGGGACTACACTCATTTATTAACAATGCTTATGAGGATCTGTACAAAAAATGTTGTTTTTCAGAATAATCATTGGAAGGAAAGATAGGTATCTATATGGGTTTTTTATTTATATGAAAGTATTTAATTTTTCTGATATTTATATACAGAGGAGAAGTAGCATTCAAATAGTTAAACCATTCATACACCTACATTATTTATATTAATATGACTTCTTTTCAGTAGGGTGTGTAAGTAAATGTGTTTACTTTTAAGTTCCTCAAGGTGGTATTTGAACTAGGATTTGAAAAAGAACTATGACCTAGTAAAGAGAAGAATGGTCTGGAAATGGAAAGAAATAATTGTTCCCATCAATTCCAATAACAGAGGCAAACTACTTTGCTCCTCTCTTACATGTGGCACAGATAAGAACTTGGACCAGTCATCTAACAATGAAATTGTGAGGAAGCAAAAGGGTGTAATATTTCATAAAATAGTGTACTGTATGATTTTGGATTTGACTGACTTCCTTTACTATTTGAATAGTGTACCCATTTCTAATAGAACAAATAATCAAGTTGAGACGAAAACTATTAATCATGAATAAGCAGAGCTATTTGTTAAATCACAGAGCAAGGGGGGGGGCCTGGGAGTAGAGGTGTTAGGAAACTGCTGTTTTAAAAGAAATGAAACTTCTAAAAATAGACATTTTGGAGAGTTTTGTTATTATTTTTGAAACTTACATAAATTCTTATCTATGTTAACAACAGCGTACAATGTTTTATATGGTTTGGGGATACCCAGTGAGGGGAATCACACCATAATGGTGGAGGACTGCTGGTGCTATAATCATGGATGTCATAGAGAAGTTTAATAGAAACTGTATCTGGCTAACAGTTTAATAATAACCCAGGCAGACATACCACATAGATTCTTACCTGTCCTCTTTTATTCTCGCTAGCAAAGGCTCCAGCCATCCTAAAGTGCATTCACAGTGTGCATCGAGAAAAGTTATCACCTGCCCTTTGGAAGCAGCTGCTCCTCGAAGGCGGGCACGTATTAACCCAGAACGTTCTTCCATTCTAATAATTTTAACTGGTACTTCTAAATTTTTCACATAATTCTCTAATGTCGACTTGAGAAAATCTGTAATGTTCAATAAGAATTTGTCAGCATACAATGAACAAAAAAAAAATCATATATATGAATATATACATAAAATAAATTAAAATAAAAAGTTTGTCAGAGAGTTTTAGAACTGTTTTAGAATATAGCAAAGATAACACCGCCCAGCTGGAAACTCACTGAACAGATATGGTGGCCAATTTTTATCATCATATTTTTTGTATTAAGAAAGATAAGTTAGAAATTATTTTGGTAAATTAATGTACAGTTCATTATGACTGTCACTTTAATGACAATGTAAGGATAAATAGGCAGTTATCATATTAACTCTAATTTAGAAACCAGGTCATACTAGTAAAGCAACTCCAAAATGTATATGGTATTAACTTGGATTAAAAGAAAGCAGACAACTATCCACAAAATCATATAAAAGCTCAATTTTTCTAAATTGAGCTGAAAAACAAAAAAGAGAGACACATTTGAAAGGCCTTTTGGCTGATTTTTGGAGTTAGTAAGAACCAAATGGAATCATCAAAGAAATGGAAATAATTAGTAATTTGTTTCATTGACTAGGTACACTGATGAACATTTGATAGATGGCTTAAGGTTGGTATAAATATAAGGATAATATAGTCATAGCTCAGATATATTTCTGTCCATAAAACATTTTTCTAAATTGAAAATATAAACAAAGAAACAAATATATATATATATATATATACCTCTTTCACTAGCATCATCTACCAAAATGACCTCAGAGAGTAGATAGTGTGGGGAACGATTTATAACACTATAAACAGTTCTAAGGAGGGTGCTCCATGCTTCATTATGAAACACGATGACTACACTTGTGTTTGGAAGTTCATCGGGGTAGACCTTTGTCTTGCATCTGGAAAAGAGGAAAGAGGTACATGTTAATTTGTTTTTCATTCAGATCATTGTAATAAAAAAAAAATCCATAGTAACATAACTTTCGGCTTGAGAGTCCCATACTAAGAAAACATTTTACGAATATCTAAAATCACTTTCCTTTTATAAATGCTGTGAGTAATCACTTGGCATTTTGAAAATTAAACATGCATAATTACTAATATTTTATTTTAACTCCTGCAGGGAACAAAACAGCATGATTTCTATCAGCTTAAGAAAGCTAAAATAACATTCTGAGACTGTCAATAGAAGACCAGGTACAACAGGGGCAGATGAATGCATTTAGCAGATATAATTTTATTCTGTTTAGAAAAAAAGAATTAGTGTGTAACTCAAAAAATCATAAGAACATAAAAAGACAAATCCACAGGGTTTTGAAGCATGTAAAACAGATTATTTTTCTGTTCTAAAATCTACTCATGTATGCCTTCCATTCTCTTTGAGAATGCTACAAAACATATCTGCTTTGAAAGAAATTTAGGTGGAAGGATTCAGTTTTCAGATTCACAATTAGTACTATACAGTGTAATTAAAATCAGAAACCAGGGCCCTCCCTGGTGGCACAGCAGGTTGTAGCCTTGCACTGTGAAGCTAAGCCAACTTATGGCTGCTTCAGTGCGATTCCCGGCTAGGGAGGTGATCCACATGGCACAGCAGACCTCTCCTGTCTTGCCTGCTGCTCTCCTCAGCAGGGTACTTTGTGGATCTGTCTGTTCTGCTCCCCGCTCTGGTGAATCCTCTCACTGCTCCTGCACCTCTGGCCTGTACCCCATTTCTGTATGCATAAATAAATCTTCTTTTAAAAAAATCAGAAACCAGGAAAAGGAATAGGCTACAAGCATTTCTTAAGCTTTAATGTGCATAAAAGACACCTAGGGATTTGTTAAAATGCTGGTTCTGATTTAGTAGGTCTGGGGTATAGTCTGAGATTCCATTTTTTAAAAAAAGCACGAGAAGATTTAAATGCAGATGGTTTCTAGAGCACCTTGATGGGTAAGAGACTACATCCTAATGTCATAACTTTCAGAATATGATGTTTTCAAAAGAACTTTTAGCTTTGCTTATAAATTCAAGGAAGCCCAGGTTTCACTTTCCAAGCAATCAATCTCAATAGGCACATTTGGATAAATTATCTGTCTATTACCTAGGTGTTCATGCCAAGTTTATCAAGCAGATGGTTCTTATTCTATTCAACTTAACATTCAGATATTTCTGTCATGTAATTTTAAATCATTGTGATTACAGAATATTAAAAAATAGTCACTCCATATACAGAGTAGGAACAAAAGTTTTTACATTATTTTTTTCATGTATAACATTCTAAAGAACTAGAGAATAAAATCATTCCATAAAACAAAACAAATGACATACTTCCTGCCACTCACGAACAACCAAATATATGACACAAAATTAGCATAGCTACAATTAATTTCTTTCACAAGTAAACCAAAAAATTCAGTAAAATGTGGGAGATGAAAACATACAATAAAACAAAGACTGATTATGAGTCTATTGAGAATTTAATCACCCTTTAAACAGTCTAAAATATTGCCTAGTCAGTGAAATCTTCTGCAAAATAACCAGGCAAGAATGTACATATACCTGGACTATAATATGATTAAAGATTTTCAACTTTTGATATCATGCATAAGAAAAACAAAATATAGAGGAGAAAGTAGTTTTGACAAAACTTAGAGAAGAATATTTAGGATGGAAGCTTCACAGATTCATAATATAGGTGTAAAAAGAAGCAGTCAATAAATTGTTAAATTGGCCTGGAAGGTTTTTAGTGAAAGATGGAAACTGGAGGTGGAGCAATGTTATTCATTACAAAAAAAGACCAGTCTTTACAAATTAACCCAACCAGACCTTAGGGATTCCTATCCCTTGCTTTGGCAAAACTCAGGTCTTGCCCTAAGACTGTACACCTCTGTCTATCTAGATGTATCTTTT